ATAGAGCGTCGGTCTGTGGACTGAAAGGTCCTAGGTTCGATTCCGGTCAAGGGCATGTACCTTGGTTGTGGGCACATCCCCAGTAGGGGGTGTGCAGGAGGCAGCTGGTCGATGTTTCTCTCTCATTTATGTTTCTAGCTCTCTATCCCTCTCTCTTCCTCTCTGTAAAAAAATCAATAAAATATATTTTTTAAAAGAGAGAGAGAGAGAGAGAGAGAGAGAGAGAGAGAGAGAGAGAGATGGAGAGAGACAGAGAGAGAATGCTTCCTCTTTTGGGCGTCTGGAATTTGGCAGAGGTAATCTGCTGTGAACCTGCGCACAATCAAGATGACTCCTAATTGGCTCATTAAGGCGTCTTGTCCAGCTCGCTGATTTGTGATACAACAGCAGGTGAAACTGTCAGGTGTATGCAGGCTTAGCACTGGGGCCTGGGAACAACACCCTTGTTTGTCCAGACACCTGTGCAGAAAAAAAAAAAAAAAAAAAAAAAGGCCCTATTCATGCAGAAGAACAGGAAGCAGAGCCAACAAAGGAGGAGGAAAATCAGGAATGCATGGCGTCCGGAGGCCGGGAGGGGAGCCGCCGGCCTGGGGAATGCTGCGGAAAACCTGAGCAGGGACAGGACAGGCCGGTGCCCGCTGGGTTGCTCAACACGGGCGCCTGTGGAAACCCAGGGAGGGGAGAGCATGGCTGCAGGGGACCCGCAGTGAGGAGACTTCCACAGAGAAGGTTTGCTGGGAGGGATGGTAGGAAGACAGGGTAGTCAGTGGAGCTTAGTTCTGATTAACTCTGTGGTTCCAGCATCACCCAGCAGAGCATCAGGCATGTAGGCACCTCAGAATGTTTGTAGAGTGACTGACTGAATAAGTGAATGAGCAGAGAATCGAGTGAGAGAGGTGGGAAGATAGACAAAAAGATAAAGTGGTAGCATCAAGCCCTGACCGGTTTGGCTCAGTGGATAAGAGCATTGGCCTGTGGACTGAAGGGTCCCAGGTTTAATTCCGGTGAAGGGCATGTTCCGTGGTTGCGGGCACATCCCCAGTAGGGGTGTGCAGGAGGCAGCTGGTCAATGTTTCTTTTCTTTCTTTTTTTTTTTTTTAAATATATTTTATTGATTTTATACAGAGAAGAAGGGAGAGAGAAAGTTAGAAACATCGATTAGAGAGAGTCATCGATCAGCTGCCTCTTGCACACCCCCCACTGGGGATATGCCCGCAACCAAGGTACATGCCCTTGACCGGAATTGAACCCGGGACCCTTCAGTCCCCAAGCTGACACTCTATCCATTGAGCCAAACCGGTCTCAGCTCAATGTTTCTTTCTCACTGATATTTCTGACTCTGTTCCTCTCCCTTGCTCTCTGCAAAAAAAGCAATAAAATATATACTTTTTAAAAAAGTTGTAGCTGATATTACTTCACATCTAAAGGGGGAAAAAAAGTTTCTGTCATCAAAGTCAGCTCTGGACATTCTTACAATAAAGTAATTAACTTTCTCTGACTTATTTCACTTAGCACCATATGCTCCAGGTCCACCCATGTTGTCACAAATGATGTCTTCATTCTCTTTATCTAGTCA